ATGCAACCGTATTTTTTTTCTCGAACGCAAAATTATTTTTATTTTTTATTTTTATTTTTATTTTAATTATTTCATTTATTTATTTATTTATTTCATTATTTTATTTATTTTATAACTTTACTTTTGCGTGTATCTATTATTTAATAACAGCGCGATGTGTTCATATGGTCGCGCTCGATGATATGAGCGTAATACGACGCCGCGAAGAAGGAAGGAAAGAAGGAAAGATAAAATGTGAAGACGGAGATATATTTATTTAAGCAATTATATTTACCATACTTACTGCTTTTCCTCTATACAGCTTCATACTTTTCCCTCTGGACGCTTTCCGCAACTACTCGCTCGCAAAGATTTTAAATCTATCGCAGAATCGCTTAATACGGGCGCGATGATACGTAGCGCGACGCTATCGAGTGTCGGCGCGCGTAATACGATACGGCAGGAAGGATGGAAGGAAGGATGATGCGGTATAAGAAAAAAATGACAAAGATTTAATGTATATTTTTATAATACTATTTATTACTCATGTAACGCATGATATACAATATTATCTGAAGCATATAAAATCAATTCACATTCAATATGTGAGTTCTTATCATAAATCTTACGCAAGATATTTATAGCATCGCATCTGTTCATAATATAGTTTTGACGTAAATATGTAATGAAATATTTAAATTTGTCGCTTACACTATTTGTATGTATTTTGATACAAATCGAAATATACGTGCTCAATGCATTGTTCCAGTTCAAACATGAAGAGCATAGTCGATTTCATATATAAACACTTATCACACAAAGATAATTTCACAGTGCCCACATCACATATTTTGACAAGTTCAATCACAAAGTCTTGAATCACTAATGATGACGGAGTAATCAACTGCACCAATCGCTCGATATCAACCTTTTTTTGACGAACGCCGTCCACGTAGCACGAGGCAGGACGATGCGGTTGCCTCGAGTGCATCGATCGCAATTTCCACGTGAGACATTGGTCCCACGACGATCCCGATCTCCAGAAACTTGCATGCTATCGGTGTCAGCGCAAACACTCTCCTCAAAATGCTACGCGCACTGTAACGAGCAACAAAACGAATAAGCCATCTATAGAAAACATTTTGCAGATACAAGTGACATACTTACGGTTGAACGTATGAAACCATAGCGCTGACGATCATTACAATACGATTTTTTCGAGCGACTGATACAGTAACATCGTTTCACCTCCTTTTTAATGTTTATACTCCTTCCCAATTTATTCACCATTATCTGAAGAATCGCTGAGAGAATCTTCAGACATAACATTCGGTAGATAAAAGGCTTGTATGTCAGTACAATACAAACTTTTCCGAGAAGGATAAAAATCAAAAGCCACAAGCGCGCATTGAGTACACGTTTCAATTACAAATTTCATTTTCAAATTATGATTATTATTTATTGAAACGTAACCCTGATGCTCCATCCGATATTTTGAACACCAAGTATTAGTGCGTGTTAACACATTGCGGAAACCAAATTCTCGAGTGCGAATCAAACGCGAGAGCAATAGACAATTGCGATTAGCCATGTTTGCGCAGACTAACATTGCGCAATCCTAGATGATATTTATATTTTCATTCCCACTCAACAATAGTTAAAATGCAACATTGCAAATATGCGGCTGCAGAGTTTAAGAATTTATGCAAAAGACACACCTGATGAGACCATTATTGTAATTTGATACCACAAAAATGCAACGTTTTCGAAAAAGTTGCACAATATGATGCAATTGCACATTAATCATGTTAGATTTAGCGTAATATAAGAAATTTTTCAAGGACATTTGACATGTCATGTTTCGCGATAACATCATCAATTTAACACCTGCAAAAATGCATACCCTACAACAAAAGATTTTAGATACATCCGACGATGGAATCATCAATATAATTTGATACCACAAAAATGCAACGTTTTCGAAAAAGTTGCACAATATGATGCAATTGTACAACAACCATGTTAGATTTAGTGTAATGAAAGAATTTTTTCAAGGACATTTGACATGTCATGTTTCGCGATAACATCATCAATTTAACACCTGCAAAAATGCATACCCTACAACAAAAGATTTTAGATACATCCGACGATGGAATCATCAATATAATTTGATACCACAAAATTCAACGTTTGCGAAAAAGATGCTCAATATGATACAATTGTACAACAACAATGTTAGATTTAGCGTAATATACTTCTCAAAACATTTCAAATATTTCACGACGATATCATCATCATAAATAGCATAAAAATGGTATAAAAATGGTATAAAAATGTAAGGATTTAGGTATATCACGTCATTAGTCAATCTAACAGCAAAAGTAACAACATGGAGCGAGATTTGATTGAGCAAGCTACCCTGCTTAATACAAGAGAAGAGTACGTCGCGTGGGAACAGCGATGCGACAAATTTATAGAATCTCTGGAAGAGCAGAGCCGTATTAAACGTCCGCGATTATCGACCGGTAATAGACAATCGGTAATCGCATGTATTGCACAACTTGAAAGCTTGAAGGATTTGGTGCTCGGATTTGTGAACGTAGGCGCCGGATATGGACTTCGATGGTGCGAGATCGAAACGGCGTTCGAAAGCCGGATTCTAACAGGCGCGATAATAAACTCTAATTATATCGAACCTCGCCGATTCCTCGAAGACGCGAGTGAAATTGCGCTCGAGCGTGTGCAGTGCATCATGCAGAGATATGACTCTTTAAAGATAAACACAGTATTTAACGGTGAATTCGTGGCTGGTGACAAACGCGCGAACAAGAGTATCATTACCGGAACTATGAACTATATCAATGCACTGATTGCGCGAGTAGTACATGTCGCGCATCGTCGAGCCAATTCTAGCATCGCTCGAAGAATTTTAAGAACGTAACAGCGGGTGGGCACTGTCACATATCCTCAATTTAACGGTAAACGCGAATAAATTAAATCCTCTGCGCGCGGGATGTCATATTAAACTCCCGCGAGAAATTATGTTGAAGAGAGCGGTGATCAACGTGCGATCCATAGACAATGCGTGTTTCGCGCGGTCGGTGATTGCAGCTCTACATCCAGTTCAAGAAAATGCACATCGAGAATCCTCGTCTAGAATCGTCGAGAATCCGCACTACTCATCGGTACTGAATCTCCAAGATATTCAGTTTCCGATGATGTTACAATAAAAAAAATTTGAAACTCTCAACGACATTTCCATCAATGTCTACGCTATCGAGAAGGGGATTGTGCCGATCGAAAGAGCAGCAAGCACGTAAACCTCTTGTACGTGAAGAATGACAGCGCGGGACATTTCGCGCTGATCAAAGATCTATCCCGCCTTGTCAGTTCGCAAATCAGCAGAAAAAAGAACAGGAAATATTTCTGCGATAAGTATGTATAAATAATAATAATAATAATAATAATTTTTCAGATGCCTCCACTACTTTAACTCGAGCACAAAACTGGAGACCCACAGTGAGGATTGTGGGAAATTAAACGATTGTGCTATAAGGCTACCGAGCGAGGACGACAAGTGGTTGAGCTTCCGCAACCACTGCAGGAAGGAGTGCATCCCGTTCGTAGTCTACGCCGATCTTGAGTGCACATTGAAAAAGATGGCTAGTAACTCACAATCCTCTACGCACATGTACCAACACCACAACGTCTTCAGTATCAGGTATTACGTGCACTGTTCCTACGACAGCTCACTGTCAGGCTACCGATTTCGCCGTGACAAAGACTGTACAGCGTGATTAGCGGAAGAATTGAAAAATCTAGCGCACAGTGTACAGTCGACAATTTCAGCTAATGTTCCCATGGCAGATTTCACGCGCGACGACTGGGAAAAATTTAACAGCACCTCGCATTGTCACGAGTGCGAGAAACCGTTTACACCAGACGATACGCGGGTACGCGATCACTGCCACTTAACCGGGCGATATAGAGGCCCCGTGCACTCAAATTGCAATCTAAATTATAAGGATTCGCATTGCATACCCGTAGTTTTCCATAACTTATCTGACTACGACGCTCATTTCATTATCAAGGAAATTGCCACCACGTACGAAGGACGCGTTGGTCTTTTACCGATAACTAAGGAAAAATACATCTCATTCACCAAACACATTGACAGTACCAAAATCAATCAAAAGAACTGCAAATAATTACGTTTCATAGATTCATATAGATTTCTCGCTTCTAGTTTAGACAAATTGTCATCTTTTCTCAACAATGATAAGCTGCGGGTACTGCGATGCGAATTTTTCGATTTATCGGAAGAACATTTTAATCTTTTGACGCGAAAGGGCGACTTTCCGTACGAGTACATTGACTGCAACGAAAAATTGAACGAATTGTGCTTGCCGCCTCGTGAATCATTCTACAGTTCATTGACGGACAACACGGTATCTGAGAGTGATTATGCGCACGCCGTCAACGTGTGGCAGCGGTTCTCCATCCAAACGCTCGGTGAATATAACGATCTGTATCTAAAAACAGATGTATTGTTGTTGGCCGGTGTCTTTGAAAATTTTCGCGACAGTTGTGTCGCCAGTTACGGACTCGACCCCGCGTACTATTACACCTTACCAGGCTTCACATGGGATGCCATGTTGAAGCATACAGGTGTAAAATTTGAACTGCTCACAGACATTGACATGGTCATGATTGTCGAGCGCGGAATACGCGGTGGTCTGAGCCAGTGCTCAAATAGGTACGCGCAAGCCAACAACAAATACATGCCGTCGTACGATCCATCGAAACCGTCATCGTACTTGATGTATTATGATGTCAACAACCTCTACGGCTGGGCAATGTGTCAACCACTGCCTTAGGTCGATTTTCGATGGGTCAATGACGTGCACAATTTCAACTTTACGACCATCGCGTTAGATTCACTAACAGGCTATATTCTCGAGGTTAATTTGGAGTACCCTCAACATCTCCACGACGCGCGCACTGACCTACCGTTCTGTCCGATGCGCGAGAAACCGCCCGGCAAGCGTGAGGACAAGCTCCTCGCAACATTATGCGATAAACAACGTTACGTCATCCACTATCGCAACCTGCAGCAGTGTATTCGTCACGGTCTCCGTATCGCAAAGGCTCACCATATACTACAATTCGCGCAAGCTCCATGGCTTCGCGATTATATAGAATTAAACACCTTTATACAAACTGATAAATAACGCGGCATTTGGCAAAACCATGGAGAATGTGCGCGATCGTGTCGACGTAAAATTATTAACAAAATGGGAAGGCAGATACAGTGCGGAGGCAATGATCGCCAAACCAAACTTCCACAGTCGTAGCGTCTTTTCGGAGAATCTGGTCGCGATAGATCTGCGTAAACTCGAGGTGAAGTTTGACAAACCGATATACGTGGGTATGTGCATCCTCGATATGTCTAAAACGTGTTTGTACGAATTTCACCACGAGTACATGACATCGCTGTTTCGTAAATGCAAAATTATGTATATATATAATGAATATGTATAATACTTTAATGTATAATATTATGTATAATTTTATAATACATTGTCTTTATGAATCCATGAATTGTGTGAATTGTAAAATCCCAACCATTTCACGTAAACCTCGTTTATCTTCTTGTGCAACACTTTTTCAACGAAATATACCGATACTGACAGTCTCATATACCATGTGGAATGTGATGTCGTTTACGATATCATGAAACGCGACATCAATAGAAAACACCAAAAAAGCCAGAAGTTTGGTTCCGCTATGTAGACGACACATTCGTAATATGGAGACACGGCAGAGCAGAACTCCGTAAATTCCTTATTTTCCTCAACAAACAACATCCAAATATCCACTTCACCATGGATATAGAGGAAAACGGAAAACTCCCCTTCCTAGATGTTCTTGTCTCCAAAAAAGCTGACGGTACCTTAGGCCATCAAGTGTACAGAAAACCAACACACACAGACAGGTACCTACATGCTGAATCGCACCACCACCCGGCACAAAAACAGTCAGCAATCAACTCACTAGTGCATAGAGCCTTCACTATCTCTGACAAAGAACATCTACAGACAGAACTCAACCACCTGAAACTAACCTTACAAAAAAACGGACACGACAAAAAAGACATAACCAAAGTAATCAATAAACATGCAAACAAGACAACGGTCCCTGACACACAACCAGACGAAAGGATACTAGCCTTCCTTCCATTTGTCAAAGGAACAACAGACCGAATCGGCAGGATATTAAACAAACACAACATCCGAACTATCTTCAAACCACCCAAAAAGATAGGACAAATCTTAAAAAATCCCAAAGATCATAGAAAAGCCATAGAAATACAAAAACACCCTAACAATCTAAATAGAGATAATGGCTACAATATAAATAAAATATGGAAGACTATCCTCCCGGCTATTGAAAACCGGCCGAATTCCTCTCCTCCCCTTGACTCACAATTTTCTTCTCCCCCCTCCTCCCCCCCACACAAGCAGCGTAATATAAAAGGAACGACCCGGGGGAACAGCTTAGTATCAGGCTGCTCCTCGCCCTGATGAAGTGAACTGCAAGGTTCACGAAACGTTGGCATTCCAAGAATGGATCTAAACACGGAGAAAACCCGCGAAACGCAAGATTGTCACATAGGTAACACCCGTGAAAGCCTCAAGAATATAGATTTGACACTGATTACTCTATCGACAACGCGTACGGTATTCCGCTCGCGAATAAAAAAGTTCCAGGCCTAATGAAAGACAAAAATAACGGTGCTATCATGACTGATTTTGTCGGGCTTAGAGCGAAAACGTACGCTTTACGTGTGCAAGGAAAGAAAGATATGAAAAAGACAAAGGATGTCAAGAGCAGCGTTGTGGCAAAATCCATAACGTTTGAGGATTACACACGCTTGAACGACGCAATCGAAATGACGCGCAGACAGTCGTGCATTAGATCAAAATTGCACGAGGTGTACACGATAACAAAAATTGTTCTTAGTCCACACGATGATAAGTGGTATATCGTATCAGGTTTCACCAACACGCTGCCATGGGGACATTACCGGTGTAAATAAAACGCATTTCGCATATGTATAAATGTGTAATATGTATAATATATATACAATGTATAATATATATAATATGTATACAATGTATGAAATGTATAAAATGTATAATATGTATAAAATGTATAATATATATAATATGTGTAAAATTTATATATGTGTAATATTTAATATATATATATATAATGAATATATATAATACTTTAATGTATAATATTATGTATAATTTTATAATACATTGTCTTTATGAATCCATGAATTGTGTGAATTATAAAATCCCAACTATTTCACGTAAACCTCGTTTATCTTCTTGTGCAACACTTTTTCAACGAGATACACGTCAGGATTAGCGACGCGATGCAATTCGTATTCGTAGAATCCTCCAACGATGGATTTTCCGCGAGAATCTTCCAATAGATACGTCACTGGATTAATTTGTTGCACTTTGATGATTTTAAAGACCTCCGTAGTTCAATTCGGCGGGTATCCTTTCTCAAAGGTCGTCTTGAATTTGCTCACGCGAACCGAGTCACTCACTTTGAATGGGTGCGGCAATCTTTACATGATTGTATACCGTGATTAAGAGCCTGTCGGTGATCGCAGGGGTAACAACGACGGGCCGCATACCGATAGTTCGATGCTTTCGCACGTTGTAATCTAATACGAGGCGTGGCAAGCATGTCGATCCATCTATAGTTTCCATTGTGCGCAAACTGTTTCCACATTCTTCAACGTACGATTGAACCGTTCAACGACCGATGTCTTCATTACAGAATATGTAGAGTAATGATTGATGTTGTGTTTCTTCAAGAATTTCTGCACATTTGAGTTGTAAAATTCCTTTCCTCTGTCGGTCTACAAATTTTTCGGACATCTTCCATCGTCTCGAATTATCTTTGCAATCATTTTCGTCACCTCGTTCCCGCTCTTGGCTTTGAGTGGTACGGCCCATGCGTGCTTACTCAGCACATCGATAACGGTGAGAATGTAGTGGTAACCTCTGTTGCAGCGTGTATACGGACGCATCTCAACCACATCCGCCTGCCACAGGTCATCGTATCCGTGTACTATGACGCGTCTTCTTGGAAAATTTCTTCTCGCTGCAGCGTGTAATTCATCAACCAGCGATCGTTTTTCAGTCATTGCGATTATTCACTTCTCGAATCGTCTTTTCAAATTCGTTTAGCATAACCTGCATATTATTTTGGAATGATGTCATCTTCCTCTCGATTTCATCAAGTCGATCTTTCAAATCTTGAACACTCTGCTGCACGTATCGTTTGTTTGCCGCATCAGCATCATCCACTGGTAGCACTAAACGTCGAATCTTGCGTGACTTTGCATCAAAGTCGGCTGCGACTACGCAAAAAGCGTTATCGCGTACGTAATTTCTGAGTGATCCGCTCCACTGATAGTACGATACGTTTCCTCCTCCTCCGATAGTCCAAACTTGCTGATCGACATTTCGATATCGACTGAATGACGCGTATCGCGCTACGTCAATTTATAACGAGACCAGCTTCTCGAAGTTCCTCGATAATCGACAGAATCTCGTTGTCGTGACCATTATGCCCCGCCTGGCACGAAGCCTCGAGCAATCGGAGACGATCCACAAGTTCGTTGGGATCGTCCCAATGAATGTAGTTAACATTATTATCGTTTAGTGTCATGGCGCGTGGTATATCGAATCTTTTGTTTATACCCGTTCCAACTTTTTTATCCAACACCAATGGCGCGATTATATTCTTATACTTGTACCCCTTGTTACCTAGTACTTGACTATCCGCGCTATGACCGCATCTATACGCATTTGTTGTCAACAGAATGCTCTTGTAGGTTTGCATGTCATCCGTGCATATATTTTCATTGGGAAATTTCATGAAAATTAATTCGTACAGAGCCGGTGTTCCCTCGTATCTTTTCCCATTTATAATTATCGTTTTTGTCCAAGGCGATATGTTTGTCGCCGAGCATCGTTCCCTCGTTGCTAAAATAAACTCCGTACACAACGTCAATGTTTACGGCTTTCTTACCGCTCAAGACTGCTTTCAAATATTTTTGTCCCAGTGGACCATAGCTTATTTGCAACTTTTCTTGCCCCTCGGACGTTTGAAGCAGGTGT